AGATGTGAACGATCGATCCCCTTTCGAACGAGCGTACGCAACGGTGTATCGGACGATTTCGTCAATGTAAGCATCGTCGATAAATACATTGAAGAAATCTTTGGCAGTTGCATTTTCTCCGAGATCTCTGGTCGGGCCACGACGAATGGAGAATTCCTCAACATTAATTTGTCGCAATTAGCTAGACCATTGAAGAGCATTTGGTCGGCTTTCTTCTGCGGCAGATTCTTCATCACTACTTTCGTCGCTTCCTTCTTCCTCCTTACTAGCGTATAGCTCAACATCGGAATCGCTTCCCCTTTCTTGCGACCGTAGGTCGAAAAAGTCTTCCATCTCGTCATCCACATTGCGAAGCAAGTTTTGTTCATGCTGTGCTTGACGAGCTTGTCGCTTTTTTCAATTTCTTCGATGATAAAACCAGCGAAGACTTCCTGCTCTTCATCGGATGAAAATTAACTTTCATCAATTCTTCCAGAAGCTATGTCTTAGACCACGACATATTTTTGAAAAATTTGTCAAAAATCGCACGGTTAACGTGGAATAGTGAGTTTGGTCTCAAACGAAAGCTTATTTTTTGCATGTCACGCTTCACTGCTTTTCAATACCCAGGGGAGTTTTGTTTCTAAGCTACAGCCAATCAAAACAAGCCATTTCTGACAGGGCGCATGAGGGCGCATTGGAATTTCAGAGGGGTTTTATTTCTGGGCGCATGAGGGCGCATCGGATGTCAATGGGTTAAAATAATAATACAATATCAACCAGATAGGTGATGAGATTAAAGAAAAATATAAATTTGGGGATAACTATTTGATCCAATACTAAATTCTCTGAACTAACTTCATAAGAGTTGTGTGATTGACTGTAAGGAGAATAACAAATTTGAACTGGGAGTTAAAGGTTTAAGATGATTACGAGATATACTTACAAATTTTGGTGATTGGAATGCAAGACCTTTTGCCCAGTGCAAACTTAACTATCATAATAATCATTATTTATTATCAACTAACTATGACTATAATGTAGCATGCAATCTGTGCCATTCAGAAAAGAATTAAAAACCAAAAGCAGCACACTGTCTAATTCTGTGGGTTTTTTTTTTTTTTTACCGCTAAGTGCAATTTCTTTTTTCTCATAAGGATGGTGATAGACTCCTTACAGCCAGTAATGAAATGCTCATGAGAGTATTTGATCTTCAAGATGAAAGTGCTGGTAAATAGTTTTTCAATTTATTTACTTTCAATCATCTTTATTGGAGAAATGCAAAGTCTTTTTGAGGGTACCAGTGACTGACAGAAGTTTTCTGCATCATGTAAAGACCTTTGCTCAGGCTTATAACCTAAGCTATTACTTTCTGTTATGGATAAATCAATGTAATATTTTGTTTAGAACCAGACTTATTACAAGGTTATAAAGAAAATATAAGGGCCGCACTGTGGAGTGAAGATGGCAAGTATATTATGAGTGGAGGAGAAGACAAAGCAATAAGGTATACTCATACAACTCTATCACAACTAAATTTTCTCACTTGTAATAATCCAGTGGTAAATACAGATGTGACTTGCATTGTGCTTTTGTGCTGCCTAGGAGCTAGCATGAACTGCTCAAATCTCCATCTCTTCCTTAATGAAATTCAACCCATTTCTATGTCCATGTGAGGTTTTGTATTATATTATTGGTTGGAGTCCAATGGTTTTCGGCTTGATCATTATAATAACTATTTCATCACCAGGGATAATTTTTAGAAGTACCCAGGGACTCAAGTATGGTGAAAGGCAGCAAAAATAAGCTTTAAAATTATGTTAAGCTCTCCTTGAAGTTTTTCAGTAAAACCAGGGAAATGTAATATTTATTCCTGACCAATAACTTGTGATTGTAGGCTTTGGGATACAAGAAATATGACTGAGGTAAAGAAAGTAGATATACCTCAGAGTGTAACAAGCATGGTTCTGTCCAAGGATGGCAGTGTACTTGTTGTCACATATGATAGAACCATCTCTTTTTGGAATCCAGAAAGGTGAGTAATCAAAAATGGAGAATGGCTTTTACCACTTTAAGAGTTTTTTTTTAATTAAGTAGGGGCAAGAAAGATTAAAAAACCTTCCACTTCTGGGGTAATTAAATTTCAACTGTTCAGCCACTTTCCCCCACCCTTTCTGTAAATGCTCTAATGGCCAATTCATTAGTCTTTTCTACAAATGTCTTGGACGGTGGGACACTATTAGTAAATAAAAATGTAACAATATTCTGCAGATAAGTTATAGTTATGTTTTTCAGAGGCGGGAGTGGCAGAGTTTAAGCCCCCTATTTGGTTACAGTTGAACCTGTACTAAGTGGTCATCCACAGGGAATGGCAGGATGGCCGCCTAATGCAGGTTACACAGAATAGGGGTGTTCTAAGAAACAATAAAAATATGCCGTTTTATGTCTTAATTGACCACTTCAATGTAAAAACCTTGCCTGAAATGCTTCTAGCATTGATTTTGGGAGATAAATATTGATTAAATCTTACTTGAAAGTTACTCTTACTTTTATTTGTCAATAAATGGTTCTGCTTTAAGTGACCATTCAGTACACATGGAAAACAATAGAAAAAGGCTGTTGGGATTCACTTCAAGGTGACCATTACCACTTATAAAAGGGGACCACTTAATACAGGGGACCACCCAATAGAGTTGAAAACTACAGTGTTGAGGAAAAAAATTGGGAATTTTGACAACCAACCACTTAATACAGGATGACTGTCTTTTGTTTAGAATGGAACTGATCAAGTCCTTTGTTGCTCCGACACCAATATTTTCAGCTTCACTCCACCCTAGCAAGTCTTGTTTTGTAGCTGGAGGAGATGACTTTAAGCTCTACAAGTTTGATTATGAGGATGGAAAGGAAATAGGTGAGAACACAGAGTTATTTAAATCTTAATTGACAAGAAACCATTTCACAAATTTTGTTACCATTTTTCAGTAAGAAAACTTTGTCACAATTATTATCCTATGATAATTTCAATTACATTATGGTCTATATCCTGGGCTTGATTTTGCTTGTGATCTTTGCAGTTAATTTTTTTTCTTGAGCTCCTTGTGTGAAAACCTATAAATTTGTATAATAGAACAAATTTATGCTTTGATCAATTTTTTTGTTGTCTCAGGTATAATATCCCCTAACAGCATTCATGCCTTATGTATTTAAGGTGTTTGTCTTAACCCTTGACACCCCAACATCAGTAAGCATATTCTTCACACTGTTCTTTATACATTTCTTAAGGTGCTGACAAGGAGAATTTGTTTGCTAATCAAAAGGTTCCTTCCCTAGTGACCATTTCCTTTGTTCTCATGACCTTAATGTGTGATTTAGGGGTGAAATTGTAGGGAGAAATTAGATGCTAGTCACTCTTAGCATTTAAAGGGTTAAGAAATCACTTTTAATTAGTCTACTTCTGCCAACAATATTATTCTAGAATCATTTAAAGGGCACTTTGGTCCTGTGCACTGTGTGAGATATTCCCCTGATGGTGAGCTGTATGCATCTGGGTCTGAAGATGGAACACTGCGACTTTGGCAGCACACTGTAGGCAAGACCTATGGGTTGTGGCGAGCTGTTAACAATCATGGTGTCTCTACTGAAACCTGATAAAAATAAGCCAGTCATTATATTAAGTTAAAGGTAATAGGATCTTTTGGCTTCATGTCTGATGAAATCTACTTCCAAGCAATTTTGCTTTAAACTTATTATTTGTTTGGAAGATACATATTATGATTATTTGCATGGTTTTAACAAACTAGTTGATTTTAGAATAAGCATAGAAAAGTAAAGCACAAAGAATTGTCAGAAGTTGTCAGAAATTGCCAGTTACTGATATCATCACTACTCCTTCTCAGGGTCTGTTCAGAGGTGTAAAATCAGTTGCAAGAAATAAGGAAAATGTTGGTTCCAGCTTTCTGAAACATGCTATTCTTTTTTCTATCTCACTGTATATATTGTTATTAAAAAAAAAAAACCACTATCACTGGAAGTGTAATTATAACATTGTATAATATTATGTACTTTGTTAGATATAAGTGTATGAGCCCTTCTGAAAAATTCCATTATATTTATAGCCAAACTCGTTTATCAATTGTCAAATATCAAAGACTATCAATAGCTTTCTACACTTCAATTTTAGTTCCAAAAAGTATAGTGTCTTGGGCTGGTTTTAATTTCTAATGCAAGTGTGAGGATGCAATACAGCATACCAAAATTCATCACTAGGGTGCTGTTTTTGCAGGAGAAGAACAAATGCCCACTAAATATCAATTATCAAGCACAAGTTCCTCTTCTCCTATTTTAAAGTTATCTCTGCAGTTGAGATGAGACAGGCAATTTGAACAGAAGAATCTTATCAGTAATGGTATTTTCAGAATTGTCTCTTGCATGTTTCCTCAAACCATTGTTGGGTGTTCTAAACATTTATATTTAATTTTTGTTGTTAGGAAAATCTTGTATTTAATGTTAACTCTTATATGAATATTAGATACTTGGAACCAACTAGTGTTTTTTTGGAGGTATGGTGTTGATGAGAGACTTAGAGAATTTATTTACATGACCAGTCCTGGTTCTCCTTCCCTTTTAGCACTGTGCTGCTTTCATACTGCATTTTGTACATTGTAATTCAAAACAGATCTTTTTTGTCACAACCACTAATTATTTCATGTTTAACATGGTTCCCTAGATGTATTTCTGTGACATTTTCCACAATGAAGAGATAGTGTGATCCTAAAGATGTCGTGTGCAATGACAACCACTTGGGGGGAAAAAACTGTGAAGCATAGCAACAGCAGCTGTTGTCATAGAGTTTTAGTAAATTAGCGCACTGTTAAAAGTAAATTTAAATTGCAAAGCATTCCTTGCTGAGCACTTTTTTTGACCAAGATCTCTTGCTTGAAAAATTAGCTTTTAAAAACTCTTGTTTAAAATAATTGTTATGTTTATGTATGATAAGATAAAGTAATGAAATGAAACAATAGTTTACTTGAAGTCTTGCTTGTATATTTATTTGTTTATTCAAACTCCTTTCACAGGTAAAAGTTTAAATGGGAAGAGTAGAATTAATTATGTACAAGAGTCCCTTATAATCCCAGTGGTACACATCCAACATAATATAAAACTTTATGTGGAGAGCCTGCGATTGAATACCGTAATATGTTGATTTTGGACTCTTCCCCTTCTAATCAATATCTACTAAATAATAAAAAAAGTATGGGGGCATGTCATTATTTGAAACATTTGCATGTATTCTTGACCCTAGTTATCAGAATCCTCACTATTACTACTGTAGTTTCCCAACAATCCAAGTGATGATTCATTTGTTCCAGCTCTATTAACATCTTCTCTCTCAACAGTGTCTTTGTGAGAATTTTGTATCACATCCCTCTGTTCAGAGGAGGTAGTTCCTGGCTTTACCACTGCTTTTCCTGCAGCTTTTTGTTCTTTAGCTTTGTCCTTGTTGACTTTTACTAATGATGACAGTAGTGATTTGTTCTGCATTTTCCCAATGCTAACATTACTTGAGGTCTTTTGTTTTTTCTGAGCTGGTTGAGATGTGTGGGAGACATCCTGAAGACAAATTGAAATTTAAAAAAAAAAATTCAATCAGAAAATTAAAGTCAGGAAAGAACACAATGACTTTTGACTTCTACATCATGCTCAGTTTCAAGTTGTTCCATAATTTAACAAAATAATTACAATCAGGTGGGAGATGTGTTTTCAAGTTAAAAAAAAAAAGATGTGCCGTCTTGGCATTTTCACCTAGTTATAACAAGTAGAATACCCAGTGTTCCAAACTTTTTAAAGCCAATCAAATTGTTCCATTTGCTCTGACAAAAGACCAATGAACGAAACATCAGCTTTGAAACTCTTGATGGTGGCCAATTTACAGGTACATTATCAGCTCAGTTGATAAAACAAGAAGTATCTTATTCCACTGATTACTTGACACATGTTCATTGGTATCCTAGAACTCCAAGTTCTCATTGCAAATTACTGTATAATTTATCTTTTTGCAAACATGAACTTTGAGTACAGTACTAAAGTGTGTATCATTGAAAATTGCATTTTACATTCCCTAATTGCTCAATGTTGCATGCCTCTTTAAGGGAGAATGTGCAGTTTCAAAGGAAATGGTTCTGTAATGTAATTGGCTCTGTACCTCAGAGTTCACATGTTACTGAAAGATGCAGTGAGAGAGCACTTACCTCTGCCAAAATGTCTGTGGCTTTTCTTTTCTCAGTTCTTCCTGTTGACTTCTGTTCTCCTTCCTCTTCATCATCATCACTTTCATCGTCCAATCTTCTCTGGATCTTCTGGTTACCAAATATGGATCTAAAATTTTTTTTCAAGCATTTAAGTTAGTGTATTTAGATCAAACTATAAACCAGCTCCTGCATTGTCCCATTCTACTGGGATAAGGAGGTGGAATTTATTATATATGAGGTCAATTCAAAGCTTTTATTCCCTTAGATTCTTTCACTTCTTCCAGTTTTTGTTGCACTCAGAGAAAAGTGAAGTTACCAGTATTTATTAACTGGCATTATTTAACAGTCAAGAACTAATGATGGACCCTGGGGTACTTGTTCTAAGAGTCAAAATGTAAGTTGCTCTGTGTTGGTAATAGTGGCCAGAAACTTAAGTACAGCAACAGGAACTGCTCCTTCAAGTGTGACTAAAATTTCATCCTTGTATACAACTGATTTTTGTTAAAGCAGTGGGAACAAGCTGTGGTTGGAATCCTCGCAAGGTAGTCATTATTGTCCACATTCCATCCTTGTGACAAATTTTAGTCAATCAATCTTTTGTGCTTTGACTTTAAATGTTAATTTTAATCAACCCAAGCTGTGCTTACTGGACTAACTGCTCATCCTCCTCCTCTTCTTTGGCTCGCATCTCTTCTGCTGCCTTTGCATTCAGCTCCAACAAGGTATCGTAATCAACTACAAAACAAGAAGAAAGTTCTTTTTCAGGCCGCCATTGTTCAAAGGGTGGATAATGGAATCCACTAAACCAATCTCTATCCATTGGATAGTGCAGTGTCATATGTTAACTGTCATATGTCTGCTGAATACCAGTAGTGATTCAACCTTAGCATAGCATGGCCCGCTCTGATAACAGGATTCGTATCCTTTTTCAGAGACAAATTTCAAGGACTTTTCTAAGGCTTTTTCAGGACTCTGATTTATTTTTCCACAACTCCAAATTTCACCTTGAACCCTTCATACCAAGATTTTAAAATCAATTCTCCTTATGACCTACACTGCAATTCATATAACATAAATTTTGAAAACTTTATTTCTTGAGTTAAGCAGATTTCAAGGACTTTCCAGGATCTGTACTCTTTTTCCATTCCAGTCCTGGAAAATGTCAAAATAAAATTCTAGGACATTCCAGGTTTTCCAGGACCAGTGCAAACCCTGTTTGAACAACTGGCCCAGATAACTACAACTTGGAGAGAAACCTGACAGTCTAAATCAGAATTACATGTCTTGATTTAGAAAAGCAGAGCAGAAACATCTTATACCGAGACAACTGATTCCAGTATCCTTGTGGTCTGAATGGTCACTTTTGGAAGGGACCAAGTTTATTTCTACAGGTAGGCATTGGAGACACCCAAGAATGTAATTCTACAAAATTGAGAGGTAACTGTAATTCATTGTGTGGTTTCCTTGCAATTAAACTCAGCACATACCATTAGCAAGCCTTGTGTTCAGATCCCGCAACTCTTCTAACTTTTCTAAAATGTCCATCTCTTGTTTGGACTCTTTTGTTCTCTTCTCCAAGGCCTAAAAGATGTAAAGACATGTACATATAGCACAGATTGAAGATAATTTCTATAATCATGTTTCTTTAGTAACAGAAACCATCAAGCAAATGAGGGCATCCTAAAAAATGTTTTTATCTTACTTCTGGGCTCCATGCATAGGCACTTTTTCCCAAATGGTCACTGAAGGGTGATATCTCAGAATTCAAACAATTTCACACTTGTAAAATTCAAAATAACTCTCTATAACCTTGACCACCTCAGGACCTAAATAATGTTTTCAAGCCCAGTGATGAAGAAACTGGTGTGAAAAAAAATGTGAAAATAGCTGTTCAATAAATATATTTCTCCCTTTATTGTTCTCAGACTTTTTGGGACCTGTAATCAAATTTCTTGACTTTCCATGTCTGGAAAATCACATTAAATTCCACAGATTTCTTAGTTTTCCCAGACCCACTGAACACTATTTTTGGGCAGGATAAAAAACAAAGGGATTGTCACAACAATACTTTTTGTATTAGAAACTTTGGTTTTTGTTGTTTTTGCAACACCTGTAACTAATTTTTAGTTGAGCATTGAAGAAATCCAAGATTACATGACTTTGTCTCAGTATTTCTGTGACTGTGATGAACCATCCTCTGATATGCCAATCAGGCTATAACTCAATCACAACTTGGCTATAAGCACTTTCCCATTCTTCAGGTCATTTAGCATTTTTTAAACCTTTTACACCATCAGTTCAATATGTATATTCTCCATACAGCTTCATACACATTTCCTATGGTACTGACAAGGAGAATTTGTTTGACAATCACAAGCTTTTTTTAGACTGCCATCATTTTCCTCACTCTCAGACCATACTGTTTGATTCAGCAGTGATGCTGTAAGGAGAAATTTGATTCCAGTCACTCTTCAGGATTTAAGTGTCGTGTTTTATTGGAACCTCCTTTTTTAAATTCATTTAATTAAAACCTTCATAACAGTCAAACCTTCATTGGATTGTTTTGCTCTTCTTCTTCCTCTTCCTTTTGTTTTCTGTTCTCTTCATCTTCCATTAGCTTCTGGGCTTGGAAGTTCCTTGTCGCTCCATTCTCACAAACATAATCAGTGTTTTCAGGATCTGTCTATACAAATTGGACAAGAACACAAAAATGTACATCATAATTACACCTAATTATGCAAAAACTTCACCACAAATTGGACAATAAGGTTGGGAATTTGCAAATATAATTGTACCCTGAGGTTGAAATTCAACTAATAAATAATAGCGGAGCTTGCAGAGCATAGACCCATATTTATACAAAATAGTAGTAACCCATCAAGCCAAAAAAATTTGGATGTATGATTGTATGACCGTATAAGGTGCTACTTTTAACATGTGTAGTCAACTGTACCATGGGCCAGTACCAATGCCACGACTTTCAGTAGTCCAGTGGTCAGTGCACTGGGCTCCGAGTTGGACGACCTGGGTTCTAGTCCTGGCCAGGGCAAGGCGTCATGCCCTTAAGACGTGTGGGTTAAAAAAAAATGCAAGCTCCGCTTTTAGGCTTGGCTAAATCTATATATTATTTTACAATAATAACACTGTCATTTGTGAAGTTATCAACACAAAAATAACTCCTGCAGAAAGGTTTGGAAATCTGATACTTTGAGTATTTAATTAGCCCTTCAACAAAGGAATTACAGAGTATCTTCAAAATTCCAGATTTCAACATTGGCAGCAACAATTATGCAAGTATGCAATGTATTTATGTTCAGAGTAACAAAATGAATATTGGAAGTTTAAGCTAGCCAAAGAAACCTCTTTGTCTCCTGAGATCTACAGAATGGTGCAATATTGCATTTTGAAGTAAATTTTAAGTAAACTGAAATTTGAACTATCTTGAAACCAATAACTGTATATTCAAAAATTAAAGTTCAGACTATTATAATCTTACAAAACGAAAAACCCATTTTGATAAAATTAGCTTGACCTAAAACTCAATTAACCTACATGACAAGGGCATGACAGTACATGTAAAAATAATTTTGATTGGTGATGGTGTCTTAGTAACATTTTTTTTTGAAGGCTTATACATTTCTGGAAGATGCCATAGATGCTCCATGGTTTTAACTAATCAGCCAGCAACAACACTCAAATAAAAAGAAATGGAAGAAAAAAAGAGAAACTCAACAACAGCCATGGGGACCAAGGGAACAAAGATCATGATACAAGGTAAAATGCCTCAGTATTATTTTTCCCAACAAGCTTTACCATGCAGAGTGAAATTTATCGAAAATATTGTCAGAAACAAAATTAAATGCACAGCCCTCTTTTGGACTAACTTGTACCTTAAAAGTTATCTCTGATATACATCTTGGGCATCTAATATAGAATCGAAATTTCAGAAGTCCAAGGTATGTGTCATTTTGTACTGTTTCCTGAAACAAGGACATGTGCATGTTAGACATGTGAATGACAACAACTATTTGACTGACAACAATATTCTCTTAACTCTGATCATGACTTTTGCTCAGGTTGTCTGACAATCAGACTACACTTTCAAATGGTGTATTAGACAAAGGAAAAAGCTACATTACCAGCCACCATTAGGAATATTATGAGCCTCTTCAAGCCTAATCATTTGTAACTTTTTCCATGACATTTGAGAGCATTTGTAACTTCTACCTAACTTATCTTTTGTTGCAAAAATATCATATTCTCTTAATTGCTTGATGTACACAATTTTTATACTTTTGTAACAGACATGACTGGAAATGCTTTTAAGACAATCATTGTGCATATGTGATGCAGTTTTACAGCTTCATCAGCTAATTAACTCAGACTGAAGTGCCATAACAAAGCACCTTTGAACCACTGGATATCACTTTCCATGTGCTCACCTTTCTTGCATTAAATTTCTTTCCCTTGTAAATATACTCTCCACAAGTTGTACACCTAAAAATAAAGTTATGTGCAAAGCTAAATACTATTGTTAATGTTGTGTGACATTTTGATATTTCCCCGTAGTGGTCAGTTGTATTAAGTTCTGTAGTTCATTCAATTAAACTGCTTTGTTCTTGTTATAAACTGCTTGTTTTGAGGTACATTAACAAAACAACTTCTTAGTACAATTTTGACATGAATATTGAAGCTGTGACCTAACAAAGAAGCTCCCATTCATACTCTGCCAAATTATCAAATATCTTGTTGATCTACGTGTACCATTTACACTTGTTTCAGACTCTCTAAGAGCCATAAAAGTGATACAGGTCTGTTTCATGGACTGGGTTGTTTTCATGTCTCAAATTTTTTTACCATTGATTATTCAGAAGCAACATTTACAAATTACAAAAATGACCTAAAGTTGTTGGTAAAGACTGAGATAAAAGATTCACAAGACAACTTTTAGGATTAAAAGGCGAGGGAGGGAAGGAAGTGAGTGCAAATCAAACATCTCCACAATTCAGAATTCCAGAGATTGGCATCTCTCTTTTGATTGGCGTGCTTTAAAAACCTACCTCATGTTAAAAGGAGCCATAAGTCTCACAACATATTGACGATCTCTAGAAAGTCCCAACTTAGGGATTTTAGAGGCATCAAAATCTGGAGGATAATATTTCTATAGGATAAAAAAAGAGATGAATTTTAATACTCTCTTAGATATATAAACAAATAGAAGGTAAGGTTTCTGTATACTATACTAGCCCTATGCTATTTTAAAACAAAGCCTCAGTCCAAAAGGTAATCTAAAATTTCCACTGCTATTTTCTTTAATCAAAAACAGTATGGGGGTATACCAAAATCTTGTCTAGTAGCATTTCATACAATTAATTTTTTCTTATTAGTCAGGCACTGATCACGTCATTTAATATATATAGATAAGAAACAGGAAGTTGAAAACAGAACACAATCAGAAATAAATTATTCCACAAATCACAGTTATTTTAGTACAAAGTAATATAAAGAAAATACATTGACCAGTAGCGAGAAAGACCTTCAATGAAAGATAGACTAGAAAATATCCTCGAAAAAAAATTCTTATATGCATAGTCTACAATCATGCACTTTCAGGAAGTTGAATAATCAAATAACCCAGGTCATATAAATTAGTGAGCTTAGATGAGGCAAGGTTATCAGGTCACCTAGCTTATTTCATTCCGTAATTACGTCATTATTGACTATCTTAGAATATGTTCTCAATATTTCAGGTAATAATAAAAAATTGCTTCATCATATTGCCAGGAATGGCCGTAAAATCAAATCCTACTTACGTTGAGAACCTTGCGTTCCGACATCTTGTATTTCTTCTGCTCCTTCTGAGCGGTCACCAAGCTTTCCCATAATTCAAAGCAATTTTGTAGCTTTTATATAAAAAGAAGGAAAAGGTCGGAGAACAGAATAATTTATTGGCTCTGATGTTTTGACAGCTGGGAAAATCAGCTATGTAGAGGGAATCGTGATTATTATCCGAATGTTGAGCGACCGAAGCCTTCTCATAAAAAAAAAATTGCGATCATCTGCTGAAGTTGGAGGGGACAAGTATTAAAGCAAAGCTGCCGTATTCATTCAATCGAACCGGGTGCAGTCTTCATCGAAAATCTTCTTGGTGGCTATTTTGACTTTCATAGCTTCATCTTACGCTAATAACTGACCCCCCAGTCTTTCAGTTTGCTGCATGCAAATGATGGAAATTGTGGATATGTGGCCCAACCGACGTCTGCTATAATGGATCGGAGTTGTCATTCACTTAAGTAATATATACGCTCGATCTGCGTGCCATCAAGTCAACCGTTTCTGCGAGAGCAAAGAGCAAGAATTATAGACCTAGTGACTTCTCTTTGTCGTTATACTGACAATAGATTCATCACGTTTACTGTTGTGGGCATTGTCTGGGGGAAGAATCGTTTCGAACTTTGGACGTCAAACAGAATGAGAGGCGAGTATTGTTTTGTGTGTATGCTATAACTACTGAAATTCATGTCTGTGGTTCGCTTAGTTACAGTGAACTGTTTTGCGATATTTCAACGAACGCGGTGACTAATTATTGAACTTTGACGACATAGTAAAGCTTCTAATCAGCAGGAAGCAAGGGAAGTAATTTAAATTATACTAACATGCCATGTTATTGAAAATTTGAAAATTGTTTGGGCTGTAAAATATCCACTTAAATACCGAGTAGTTGTCCTTTTCATGCCGCAAGTTGTGCGTGATAAAATTTTTTTCTCGTTAGATTAGTTCCAAAATTCGCACTTCCTTGCGGTTTTGCATCAAATTTCCTAAAACCACGCGATCACTTTCAGTCTTACGGAAGTGCAAAATTAAGGTCGGCTCTTTCAGCTGATATTTTGTAATGCATTCTACCTCTTCATGACAGAATCCTGCATTGCCGTTCCAAACAGATATTAGAAGATTTTCATTTCACAGACTTGCATGTGGTCATTGATAAATGCACCTTGAATATAACTATTGGAAATGGTAATCACGTCACTGTTTGAATGAAATTCACGTCCAGCTTCGGAGTATAGGACGGAAAGAAATACAAATTATATTTAGAAACTCTTGAGAAATTGAATATGATGCTTTCGCGCCGATGTCATGCTCGAACATACTGGACTAGATATTGATTGTTTTGTTTTGGTTCGAAATCCGTTCAATTTTTCCCCTGACACATCGCGGGTGAAAACCAGTGAACCGTATCATCTCTTGAGAATGAAAGCTGTCTTCAAGAAGGAATGTTTAATCCTATTTAGTTCACGTCTGTCCGGCTTCCTTTTTTCATGCCTTACTAAGCAACGAAATGATCAAATTCCGGTTTGTGCTGAAATCATTCCGTCATCTATTCAACAAAAATATTCATCAAATTTTTAACAGACATGGCAATTATTATTATTTCATATTCTCAGCTGCATGATGTTACTTATGGAGGATAAGTCCTTATCACTGTTATTCCTTTCTTTCATTCTGGGTAACAATCTGCCTTTTATAATTGTGCCTTGTGTTTTCCTAGCCTGTGCGTTTACACCTCTTCAGATAATGAAATGAGTCAAATATCTTATTTGCCATTTCCTGAAATTCTCTTCTTTTTCTCCTTGTTACAGGAATTGAAAAAATACTGCATAGGTAACGTGGTAGTCATGGTTGATGTTAATAGCCAAGGGATTTTTGAAGCTGGAGACATTATTAAGTATGGTTACATGAGGATTAAAAGACCACCATCTTCTACCAAAGTGCGGATTAAGGTGAGTGAAGTACAGAGGTTGTGTTTATAATAAGAACAGGCTCTCAAATGTGAGTCATCATCGCATTTGATGTAGCTGCGCTGTGTTTCTAGTTACAGATTGGTGTCATCATTTTCCATGTTCTTGTAAAAGCAGAAAGACTCATGTATTGTATATTAGGCAATGTGCAGTGAGAGTTACCTTTTTCTCTGTGTTTACCAAACAATTTTATATAACAGAACCTGTCTGACACAGCCTTATGTAAAATTTATTTGAGATTTGGGAACCTTTGAGTTAGTACTCAGGACTTTGCCTTCCTGCAGGCAGTCTTTCTGTTATGGTCATGTGTCTGGAGACCTCTGGTATACTTCTAGAGATAATGAATAAGAATTTGCTCTTTTGTGCTTCTCTATTCAGTGAATAGTTATCATTGACAAATTTATCTAGAGCTTGAGAGTGAGATTGCAAACAATCAATTTTTGACTGAAAAGCTTTTACAATCAGTCTGAGAGAATGTCGAGTATTTTATAAAAAGTACATTTTTTTTCTGTGATTAGTTTCAGAGTGTTATTCATGACAAATGTACACAATCTCTTATCTGATCTTCCAGTCTTAAGCATGCAACTGGCTCTTAAGAATTAAGAATATAAGATTTAATAGCTAAGGGGGTCCCTTAGAGAATCACAATTTCTTGTGTGTTTCAGAAGGTCTTAAGTATGAATCAAAATCTTTTTTTCTTTTGAATATTTCCTTAAATCCTGAATAGTATGCAAAAAGAAGTTTATGAAAACTTTTATTAGTTGTTTAAGGGATGCACCCATCCTGCTGTCATCACACTCAGTATTACAAGCATTATTTATGATCATAGTTAGATAGCTTCCTTTCATCTTTATTCTCTTAGAGATGCTGGCAGAAATGCATTTTTAGTCTACATGAAAATATCAATACTTGATTGTACATGAACAAAATTTTCCCTGGACTAATAATTGTCATAACTGAACAGCAGAATGTGAATGATTGGGATTGTTCTAAACTGGAAAACCCTGAGACAGCCATTCTAATTTAGAGAATCCCTCGGTTTTTTCTTTCTGCCATATCTTTCTTTCTCAGTTCTGTTAAAAAAACAGGGCTTGAGTGTAGTACACCAAACCATGCTTGAAATCATTGATGCGTCCAAAATGTTGGCCTCTCCAAGATAAAGAAGCTATAAATTTTCTCTATCACCAACTTAATGTTTGATCTTTGTGATGTTCTGTACTTTCCCAACAACTGCTGCATAGTTAGCTTGAAATTTCAAGCAACAATCAAGAACTTAGCTGCCATAACTGTCGTAAGCTGTTTATTTTGAATGGTGATTCATTATATATTTGAAGTCATTCAATAGGAAAACTTTTCATAACATTTGCCATTATACTTCCTTTGAGCTGCTCTGTGTAACCTTTCCTTACTGATATTTGAAACTTAACAATCTTAAGTAAATGTGCATGTATATGCAACTTACACCTATGCAGTATAAGAAATCAGCACTGGTCAAGAATGTTCTAGTTTATGTGACAGCTGTACAGTCTGTCATTATGCAAAGTATCTTGTATAATAATTATAGATTTTAACAAAAAAGAAAAATGTTGGGCCTTTACATGAAGTTTACAGTTAATATGATTAAGTTACAATGCCAGAACTTGCCATGGAGAAGTTCAAAGGCACTCTCCTTGTGCTTTTTAAATTGCATTGTAAACCTTGTAACTGAAAGAAGATCATTATCAGTAATTCTCAACTCTCCCAGCAACCAAATGTTTGAATTTACATATTTTTAAAATGTGCATCAAAGTGTGTACTTAAAGGAGGACAATTTTTAGTGGGTAGTTTCAAGTGGTTGTGCATTCTGAGATGAGTATTATGTCATAACAATAATTCAGCTGTGGATTAGGATGATGTTGTGTGAAAGTAAAGTATCATTTGGTTAAATAATAGCATATCTTGCTAAACTTTTGCATAATTTATATAATGACTCATCAGTGATGTTGTACTTTCACTATTGCTCTGTGTTTGTTTTATGCTTTTTTTTTTTTTTTTTTTTCAAAACTTTACACAACAGACAGTTCAGACAAGGCAGATAAGTTATTATTGTAAATCAGACAATGCAGCTTTCACTGCCAAGTTAACACATTTCAGTACAGTGTATCTGTGAAACCTGAGAGTAAAGAATTTAACAACCTAATAAAAACTACACTTCTCTAACTAGAAATTTTACACTGTTACACTTTTAGATTTTCCTTGGCACATTTGAACTGATTTTTATCAAAGAATTCAAGGGTATCACAGAATGCAAATTTGTATTCAATTACTTAATTATATCCTCTGGTTGGTGTGGTTCAGGAGTAGGTCTGGAAATTATTTAAATTAGGCAAAAGTCAGGGAATTGCATTTTTCACTTTATTTTAACATGCACTTTGTGCAAACAAAATCAGACAAAAATTTTTGAAAAAACAGACTCCATAAGGTTGGGAGCTGACAAATTAGCTGTCTTTGACTTTTATGTTATTCCTGCTTTAATTTTTTTTGTTAATGCTTTAACTCTTTCTAGAACTACTCTTAACACAAGTTCATCTTAAGTAAATGATTCAATCACTATTCCATAACCTAGTCCTTTCTTTTTCCCAGGCATGGCAATCAAAATTTTTTGTTTTGAGAGACAAGACACACAAATCCATTCAAAGGTTGGAATATTACAAAGATGAAACTGCATTTGGGTTTCAAAAATCAGTGGAGTATTCTTTTGGATTGGATAAAATTGCCTTCATTGGTGAAACAAAAAGCTCAAAGTCCAATTCCTATCCATTAATGGTGCTGTGTAGTAAGCAGGGAGCCTTGACCTTGGCTTGTGATACAGAACAAGCTAGAAAAGATTGGCTGTCGATGTTGAACAGAGTTGCCATCAAAGAGGGTGGAACCAACTCCTCAGAGATGTGGGCGAATGTCACGGTTGATGACAGTCCAGTGTCAACACCAGAGCTTCCAAGACAAGCATCTGCCAAGTTGTCACCATCACTCTCCAAGTCTTGCAGTGAATCCGTAGATGTGTCTCCAGGCACAACCAGGAAGGCAGCAGGTTTGTGAGAATGGCACTGAATAGACTGATTATAAAACAAAGTTTTTGCTTTTGCTTTTGCCCACCAAACACAATCATCAACAGGGATAAGCAGACTCTTTACCTGTAATTCCTCCAGTGAAACACGTGTATTATATTGGAAAGACTTGACACTTCCAGTTGAAATGCCCCACACCACCCAGGCAAAGTTCAAATTTCCCAAACCCCCCCCCCCCCCCCGGCCACGGACATCCAGTTTTCAAATGACTTACCAGGAGTAAATGTCACACTGTTTCTCTGTCAACAGGTTATTTTGTCACCACAAGGCTCACTCCCCATTCAGAGCAGAACAATATCAGGGGAGATTTTCTGATGTGTATTTCTGATAGAGAGGTACTCCTGAAGTCTGCTGCTGAGAGGTGTCAGACAGTGGTCTCATGGTCTGTGGCTGATTTACGAGCTTTTAAGAGTGAACCTGCAGTTAATGTAGCGGCTAAAGATATGCAACTTCTCACACTACATGTTGGAAGGTAAGGTTTTCAACTTTGTAGACAAATAGTGATGTTGTGGAGGTTTGAAAGAACATTGCAAAAGCAACTACACCATTTTAATTTTCAAGGATAAAACCAAGAGAGCTAGTTATTCACCCTTCGAAATGTTATGTAAATGGTAAGCTCTCCTTTAGACTTCTGGGAAATTCACTCTTTTTCTCTCTAAACAGACGCACTGCGACCGGTGAAGGAATATTCCAGTTCTTGACCAAACACGGCGCCACTATCGCCGATGAAATCCGACATCACTCGCGGTACGTCGTCAAGTCGGCAGCGGAGAAGCGCGAGGCTTTCCGAAGGAGCTCGACAAACAGCCAATCGAGGTCTCCACCAAATCTTGGTTCGCCCAAAAGGCTTTCAAAAACGATGACCGCACCCACGGGAAAGATTGCGAGTGTACTTAAAAGGGAGAACAGTTTGGCGACTGATCAGGCGAGAAGACGAGCCGATACCGATCCCTTCTTGGGCCAGAGATTAGGGGACAATGGAGCCGCTGAACAGAGCGAAATAGAAGAAGGCGTTGTATCCCGTTATGATTCCCGATCGAGATCTGCCACCGAGTCGTCTGTTGAAAAAGCTGGAGATGATGACGTTTTCGTGCCACGGCGAAATTATCCTGAGATTGATGCAAATGTCGGCGTGATCGAGGAGTCGGAAATCAGCCCTTATATCGACCTTGTATCGGACGAGAACGCGGAGCCAATCCACATCTCTGATCCAGTTCCGCTCTCACGCAAAACCTCCACCGATTCCTTTACGAGCAGCAGCTCATTTGGAAGCGAAGAGGGAAACATGCGCTCTTCTAACTCTCTGTCCAGGACCTTCCCAAACACGCAGTTGATCCCGGAAGAAAATGAAATGGACTCTGAAGGATATATTAGATGCGAGTTACTGCAAGACAATAGTCGTCCGGCTAATTCTCTACCTAAGACCTTTCCTAACGCACAGCAAATTACGGAAGAAAACGACATCGACTCTGAAGGATATATAAAATGCGAGGCCCTACAGTCTGGGCCAACTGAAAGTAGCCTCGACGGAAACAGGAATGTTTTAGAGTCTGTCGTGTCCGAAAAATGGACGGATGACCAGATGGGCGAAACCTCTGGTAACCAAAGTCTACGGCGCTCTTCTGTTGGTGCACATTCAGCGAAGAGTAACAGCTCAGAACTTTCACCAGCTACTGTGCGAGTTAGTCAAAAAACACGCGAGAATCTTCTTTCCCAAATAAAAGACCCAAACTGCGGTGAAATCCAACTGAAACCAAAGTTGGAAAAGGAACAAGCAGTTAAGTCGGAAAACAGTTTACCACCAAAATCTAAATCAGAAAGTGATGCTCTTCGGGTTCCCTTTAATTTTGATACTTCTAATCCTGAGTCGATGAAAAATATGTACGAGAAACTTGTTGCTCAGATGGAGAAACCACAAGAGAACGACGTCAACCTCTTTCCATGTTCGCGTTTTAAGCGTAACAGTATTGGGGCTGTTTCCGTGGAGACGGTACATGAAGTTCAGCAAACATCGGTAACCTCAGTGACAGGGAAAGTTAATCATCTGTCGCTCAAGAAACGTTCTGTTATTGAGAAAAGTAATTCTCACTCTGAAGGATTCGCACCACGCCCTCCCTTTCCGGGTCCTCCTCCATTGCCAGTTCGTCCCACGCCCAGCGAAGCGATCCGAAGACGATCCACCACGGAAATATCTGAAGAACTCCAGAAACGACCCGAACTGGCGGCCGCTCATCGTTCGACATTCTTCGCCAAGGGTATAGGCAGTGTAGATCCGCAAATATTTCGAATTCCCCTGAAGACTAATATCAATTCCAGCCACCTGAGCGGAGAAGCGGCCATACAGGCGCGACTTATTGAGAAAACTGAAATGAGAGATGAACTGGCTCAGTGTGCAACAAACCTGGCTCCAAGAAGTGAACTTCCGACGTGTTCAATTGTTGACGGGGGAAGTCATGATGACTTATTAAGTGCCAATAATGATCCCTCAGAAAAAAGTTCATGGAAGTCGATCGAAAACTTAGAAGACGATGGACTTAAAGATATGAAACGTAAAGATTCAAAGGCCAGCAAACTTGTGAAGAAAGTGTGGAAGCATGCGCGAAAACCTCGGCGGGGAAGTAACGATTCACGAGGTGAGGCGTGCGAAGATGTACCGGAAAAACCTCGGAGAGATTCGTTGTCGCCTGGGGATGTCATGGATATTCAAGGACGGTTTTCGGGAAGCGAACCAAGTACACCAGAAGTGTCCCCTCAGATGACCAGAAAATCGTCCAAGTCGTCACCAAAGGCCTCGCGTAAGACATCCAGAGAGGAAAAATTAAGAAAAGACAAAGAGTCTCCTGATATCACGGCAAAATTTTCATCCGCTTCCAAGATTCTGCGTAAGATATCCAAAGGCAGTGATACAAAGAAAGACGAACCTGCAGTGAAAAAAGCTTCCAAAGAGGAGTGGTTGGAGAAAGAGGATTTTACGGCTGATCACACAGCAAAACAAACGGCTTCACCCAGTTTATCGTCTACTTGCACTAACAAACAGAAGCAAAGGAAATTTGGAAACGTCGAACAGTTCCAAATGGACTTGAAGAATGATACTTGCAGATCAAACGAAGTTATTAATATAGAGACTGAAGTGTCTTGTCCAATAAATGGGCTTAGTTCTGACATGCTTGACACTGAGTGTCCACAAATCATAGAGGACAACGCCCCTGCGCCAGCCCTCCCCCCACGGAAGAAGTTCAACCCTCCCCCTTTGCCACCCAGAGTGGGAAAATCATCAAGTAACTCGAGTTTTACGGCTGCTGCCCATATGAGTACCTCTCTCCCAAATGGAAGAACATCTCAGCCTGTTGCTGCATCGGCGAGGGAGGGTAGACGACACAATGGATCAAGAAGTAGTGCTTCAAGGGAAGAGTTGCTGCCTCCCCCACCTGTTCCACCACGGAGAGAGAATGCCCAGTCACCCGATGCCAAGAAGATGATGTCAAACGAACGGACCTCTGCTCGTGCCCCAGTCATTCAGCTGACTTGCTCCTCACCGGAAAATAAAGACGACTGCGTTGAAAAACGCTTTTCGGGTGAGCTCAAGATCCGAGTTTGTCTACCAACTACCAGCTTTTTTCAGGGTCGAGTTTCTCTTTAACTTTGATTACCATAAATTAAAAAAAAAAATAAGAGGGGTTTCTTCGGTATGGGAACTAAGGGTTATTCAGAAAATGTAAGGGGATTGGACTGGGGCAAAGTTAGAGAACGAGCGTAAGAAGTGTTATCCACTCACAACCTCTCGCCTTTACTTCGGGGCAATCCCTAACACATCAGTAGCAAAATCCTCTCCCACCAGTCGTCTGTTCTATTGAGACTCAAAGTCGAAGAGAGGCACATTTCAGGGTTAAGTGTTCTATCCAAGAAGATAAGAAACTTGGATTATGGCTTCTCGTTTGAGGTTGAATTTTCCCTTCGATGTAAAATAGTTCTTCTCTTCCTAGCATCATTGAACCTAAACACGTAATGTTAATGCTATCAACATATCTTGACAATGAGATTTTATTTTAATTACGGTAGATTCCGATGAGGATATGGTAAATTCCCTGAACGATAAGGTAATCGTCTTTAATATATCAGTTTTACGAAGCATCATATCGGTAAACAAAAAGTGTACAAATTAGTGAAGGTATAGACTGCTTTTCGCTTCAACAGATATTCATGACGTCAATGTATGACCAATGTATGACGTCAGTGCATTAGCCGATGGCTGCTGGTAATTCAATTTGCAAAGCATGCAGAGAGTTGGCTTGACTTGCTTGCTCTTTATAGTCTGCTTGGCTTGCACACATAGAGAGTAAAGGAACTAACGTCTTCCCTTTTCCTCCTGTCTGTGCGCGCATGGTTAGAGAAATGTCCTTTGATAAATTCCTAATCACTCTGCTCCAAAATAGATTATTTCGGCAGGGGCGGTTAGACTCCGAATAGCCTCTGCGTTGAATCTTTGTAGAAAGGGAGAGCCTTATGGGTAGACATTTTTCTTTCTTTTTTTTTTTCCTTTTGATGTGCCCGGTAATCACGCGTGAAAATAGAACTACCGTAACATCCTGAGCAAAATTGTATGTGTGGTGGTTGTAAGTATGATCGTTTCCCCGGTGCGACATAAGAGCGTATTGAGGTTTTCTGTGAGATACAGCTTGTTTCCATTTCATTTTTATGATCGAGTTAATATTGTTCTGTCTCTTCCCAGGCCCCAGACCAAAGCCCTCCGACCATGTCAGCCGCTCATCAGGCATATGACTCTCTGTCGCAGCCAGTTCCCCTCCGGCCACCCAAGGGAGAGCAACAAGTCCAAACAAGTGAATTCTTCCGCAGCCATACGAACCAGCAAGTTTGTATTTCTTCCTCTTATTCAGAAACCTTGGAAATGGACGCATCAGATCAGGGTGAGGATTGGTCAGAAGATAGTTCAGGGCAACACCCTTCTCAGTCGAATCACATGGTGGAGTCGTCACCAGGTCCACTTAACTCGGGAGAAATTCGCGTGATAAGATCACCGAGGGAGGCGATGCGTCTGAAAATAAACTTGATGAGAGAGGCGTCTGTTGACGATGATGATGTCCCGTTCGAGAGTGATGATAGTAGAATCACTAGTGTTATAGGTGAAAACTTTGAAGGTCAAATCACGCCGAAAAGATCGAGCACGCCCTTGAATATTGAAAGAAATTCGTTGACACTGTCTAGTGTGAGCATAACGTAGCTTCAACCGCACGTGATTGGGAAAGGGCGGGAGGTGGGGATGGGTGTTTGATATAAGAAGCTCCAGCTCATGAAAGCATAAAATGAAACGAGTTATTTTGGTAACGGGAAATAAAACGGGGAAAGTGGGTTTGGACTAAGCAGAAATTGGGCCATAATTTACTGGATTTTCCATTTCTCAGTAGTTACAAATACGAATGGAACATCGTAGAACAAAAACAGCTTTCATTACTTGCTCTTTACTATGCCATAAAGCGGCCGGCGCTTCCTAAATCAAAGATCTGTGCACGTTTTGATTCTTCATTTTCCTTGCAAAAAAATATTCGCCGGTTCGATTGCGATCTTGAAAGGAATGGCAGTCATGTTTACTAGATATATCGTGAAGGAAACGAAAACGGCGAATGTGAACGTGGAAAAGAAGGTCGACTTTTTGTTAAATGAAAATAAATACGGCATCGTTTAATCATTTAGTTAAAACATATTATCGTGTATAGTTGTCGAATAGTGTAGAAATATTTTCTTGTTTCTTTTCTCCCTCGGTTCGATTTTTATTTAGTAGAACTTTTGACTTGTTCTGTGTCCTGTTACGTATTCTTGTATTTACATTTATCGTCTTCTATGTTGACTCTGATTGGAAAATGAAAACAAGGCTGTCGAGCCTTTAAGTAGCAGGGTGGAATTAGGAGTAAATATAATATTTATGTCTCTTTTACTGGTCGTGCATCATATTGTAACTGAGTATAAGAAATCTTGCCTTCCATATTTAAACGATTCCTTGAAGGTACTGTGTACCTTAAGAATATTTACCATTTATTGACATTTAGTAATGTGGACGAAATTTCGAACAGAATCCCTCTATTTAAAGTGGTCTTATGCACCCAATAGGTAAAATTTATCGAGTTAATTTTGAATTGTTACAAGAAGCACTAGCATTGATTATAGAAATTAATTGTAAAGGTGAAAGGTATTTTAATAGCAGTTGCTAAATCATATTTAATGAAATTTACTATTGTGGTAAAGGTTTGTGGTTGATGATCACATACTGCACTGAATAAGAGAAATTAAACACGCAATAATTTTATTTCGAGTCGATGATCAATCTCCACCTCACACCTACTCTTCTGTAGACTTCGCCCCTCCTGTAATCAGATGTGTCGTAAGCTCCTTGGCAACGAGGTACAGGCGCGGCCTGCGGGGCAGGCATCTTATTACGGCAAGTTCGGCCGGTAATGTTTGATTTGGAGTCAGAGGGGTGGAAGGGGGGAGCTAAGCGAAAATTCCTATCGTCCAGTTCCCTCTCCTCCGCTTCCTTTTGACCGTCGCCCATCCCGTTGATAGTCTTGGTACAATTTTTTTCTCTCCCTAGCCTTCCGCTGCTGTTTGAAATTAAAGGTAGCAGCTTTGTTTCTCATAAAGAAAGTCTTGTAAGAGGAGTCTGGAGAATACGCAAACTTTTGTGAGGGACTTAAGTATGGGAGCCGCCTAAGATCGAAGACTGCACTCGGAAACGACGGAAATCGAGCCTACCAGTGCTGACTTAGAACACGTTTTACTAGAATTTGAGGAAATACAAGACTTACTCGACAATAAGGGATCGTTTGCATCCTTCCACACACCCATACCCCCAAGCAACGCTTACTTCGAAAAAGGCGAATGAAGTGGTTAAAAAATTAATTTTAATGACGCTTTCATTGCACAGCTTTATCCGATTATATTTTTGATTGGCATTACTAGAAGAAATAAATACAAAACTACCAACAGTATAATTCATTTCATTTCACAGATATGACGTATCAAAACCACCGTGCACAGCACAATTCCTTACGATTACAATTTCTTACGGATAGGGGCGTCCGAAATAAATAATCGACATAAAACTCTCCTAAAGATTTTGAAACTATGTTTAAAAGTTAAGAAAGAGCAACATTGCTAAAATCATTCACCGCCTTTAAAGAACTACAAAACGAAACAAAAGAAAATTCTACGTAAAATTGATTTCGCTCAATACTTATAAGAGGGCAAAGTTATCTGCCTCGGGTGTGTTATAATTTCGTTTTTAGCAATGAGTAGTCTACATTCCTAATAATAAGATAGTGAAAATACCTGACAGAATTCGCTCACTGCTTAGGTATTAAGGTACTACTCTTTCATTCCCAGGAATGTCACTGACGGCCGGAGGTCTGCAGAGCTTTCTTAACGAAACAAAACAAATGAGACCGAAGCCTCAATAGTGACAAAGGCCATAACAAAATGGTTACCTCGCCTAGCAGATCTATATTTTTCGACCGCACAGACATTCGACTCACTCTCCTGACTTCGCGGCCAAACCAGCTCCATATAGATCCTGATAGATATATCAACCATTTTAGTTCTAACAAAAGTTTACTTATTTTCATGTTACAAGGTATATTTTGCATGCGAGCAGGACGTGAAAACCAACTGACCGTCGCACAATAAAAAGAACGCGTGACCAATCTCTATAAGGCTGTCACACAAATAAATTTACTTTACCTTGGGCAATTATTTCCTGTAAGTAGTTACTTAAAGCAGCATACGTCCTATATAAATTGACAATAAGGTAACCCAAGCCATAAAGGAATCTAAGCGAAACAGCAAGCGTAACACATTCAAATGCCAGTTCATAAGAGACCACCGATAGCAAACCGCGTTTTTTGTTGTTTTTCCCTTGGTAAGGTTGCTATCTAACGCGGTTCAGCCACAAATGTAACTGATTTGGTATTGTTCCAACCTTACTGGATGCAAAAGATTTGCTTTCTGGAGAAATTTATAGGCTACGCTAGAAGCGTGGGAATAATGAAAGCTAATCCACAAGGAAAGTATCTTTAGGAGATATAATAATGTGACAGGGTAATAATATGTTAGTGTTAACTTCAATTATTTGTGACTGAATTATTTACATATCTTCAACACACTTCCGAAAGAAAATTTGAAGCGTAATCTCATAAAAGAGCAGAATATGCTTAACACATGTAAAATTTTGCTATCCTGTTTGCAGAGGTCCTGAACACAGTGAAATGATTCGTTTACGAATTGACAATCAACTAAAATTGTTCTCCCTCTCCGGCATCATTACCATTTACTTTAAAGACGTTACAATATTTATTAATAAAAATATGTGGGTATGCCTGGATAATAACACTCTCCAAAGCAAACCAATTAAGAATAAAACATTGTTAAAATATGAGAACAGTTATTTAATGTTTCTTACTGACCTACTGCTATTTAAGACTTTGCAAAACAATCGTTACCCCTCCAGCGTTCAATTTGACTGTGCGGATTTTATCAGGCAGAAACGAGGGGGAAAAGAGGAAAACCTAAGTCAACGAACCTATAAAACAATTGTATGTCTATAGTGTACAGTCTTGTTTTTGACATATATAATAACCATAAAAACATTTTCGGAGTAAGATCAATTTGGAACTTCAAATAAAACCGCTACAAAAAAATCCTAGAATATCAATCTAATTTCTCGTCTTTTTACTTACTTTGAAGTAAACGACTCTATTGCTGTCGCTTCTCCCTCAAATCTAAATAGACTTTTTCAGGAACAAACTAAAACTGTATTAAAAACTATTCAGATTAGGTTAAAAACTTTTTATCCTGGCTACTTAGATCACGGATGGTAAGAACTAAGGAAGTAAAGAGAAGGAATAAGAACTACGTAAAAGGAATTTATCATCTTGCCCTGTACACTGGAGGAATCCAAGCAGTATGCGGGTGGCGATAGCACTGACACCCAGATTAGAAGTCCTTGTCCCAGCCTGTCGTGTCATCTGGAGGTATCTCGTCATCGGGAGGGTAGTCGTCAAAGTTTGATGCGTCCGTTGGGGACTTGATCTAAATGAAAATTAGGGTTGTTGTTTACTTTAAAAGCTACATTTGAGGAAGAGGTTTGCATGACGCGTGTGAGGGCTACGGAAACTAGCCGTAAATATTACACGATTTACGAGACACCTACGCAGCCAACCATCCTACTCACGAGTAACTAAGTTCTTACACAACGAAACTATTCGCCTGCCATGACAGTGTTGTGTGTTGTGTAAGTTGTCTGCCCAAAGCAAATTGCCCCTCGTATCTCTTAGAAAAACTCAACAAAACCAAATAATCCCCGAGAACAAAGAAGAAAATGAGCTCAACGACGACTTATTCGCGTATGTAAAAATGTCTTTTTATAAAATGGTTTGGTTTAATTAAAACTTATAGTTGAGAAAATGGCTACCTTATATGGGTCGGCAAGTAGTAATTTTCTCGGTAACAGAGAGGAGCATTGCGTTACTTATCTCGTCAATTGCCCAAACCTTTTTCAAATATTACAAACCTTTGGGACGATGGGGGCTTTGAGTATCCTCTGCTTCAAGCCGTCCCAGTTGAAACCATCGAACCACCTAGATTCACACAGACATGTTAAGTTACACGCAAATGTTAGGTGAATAGGCCTTCATTGAGAGGATTTAAAAGGGTGACAGAGAGATGCTACAATGGAACCAACGATCTTGTGGAGGGGGGGGGTTTTCTTCCTTCGACCTTAAACATCCACAAAAAGTATTGTAGATGTAGATGTTGTTGCTGCCATTTCAGTTGGCATTATGGCTATTAATATGGTGGCATGAGCTGTGATAAGGATTGCAATCTTTCGCCCATTTTCACTGAGATACTTACTTGTTTTTCTTTATGTCTTTCAGACCTCCCTTTTGGTAGCCAAGACGCTCAATCGGGTTGTCCCTAAAAAGACAAATGACAAGGCGTAGTAATTCAGCTAACTGGGCTGATAACAAACTTTATGGAACCAATTACCTGGTTTTCACTTCTGATTAAAAATAACCATTAAGTGGCAAGATTTAACAAGGATAAACACCAACAGACACTTCAGAGTTTCTCCCTGCCCTCTTCGTGTCATACACCGGCCGTAGAAATTCCACCAAATTTAATATTTAATAATGTACCTGAAAAAATACGCGCTTCTGATTGGCTGAAAAGGGCATTCTCATGTAACACGAGTGCACAGTTGTAATACGAATGTAAATTACAAATAGCACGCCAGCGCTGTCAAAATTTACGTCTATCTTGAATCTCTGTGATATTTTTTCATGTACATTGTTGACATGCAACAACATGATTTCTCGTGCAATTTGGTTTGGCATTTTTCAAAAACTACAAATCGCACTTGCCCTACGGGCTCGTGTAATTTTATTGTCTTTGAAAAATTTACTGCACTCGAAACCCTGTTATTACCCACACTAATCAACTGCCACTACCATTGAAGTGAAGCTTTAAGTTGAGGAAATGACGTTTTGATGTTGTTTTTTTTTACTATCATCAAACAAACTGTTTGGAACCCAACCTACAAGAACTTACCGACACAGCTTTTTAATGAGACCATGAGCGTTCCTGGTGATCTTGCGAGGAAACTCGATCATATCAATTCCTTTGAGAATTATGTTGTAGGTCTTCATTGGATCTGACCCCGTGAAAGGTGGGCTGCCTGTAAGCAGTTCATACATAAGAATTCCTAGAGACCAATAATCTGCTGACAAGTCGTGGCCCTACGAAGGTAAACAAACATTCAGTATTAATCCCAATCATTATTATCCGATGGAGAAGATGAATCTTGATTTCAAAGAAATTGATCCTTACAAGCACTGTTCACTGGAGTTAAGAGAGTTTTAAGTAAGTGTCGGGGGGAAACCAGGATTACCTTGGTCTATTTTGTTTTAATGAAGATAAGAATGACTAATTTGTTTACCTTGTTAAGAATGATCTCAGGTGCAACATACTCAGGTGTTCCACAGAACGTCCACGTTTTTCTTCCATAACCTATTCTCTTTGCAAAACCAAAATCGACCTTGGATCAAAGGGAATAAAAGGAAAATTTAGCACCTTCGAAATAAGTCTTCTCGTGCTCAAAAAAACTGTTAACTCAACTTACACGGGTTAAAGCAACCGCACTTCAAACTACAACTATTTCAAGTGTCAGAGATAATAACTACAACTACAATTTTCAAATACTGAACGTATGAATCGTACACAAGCAAGTTTACAGCACAAAGGTTTTTTTTAATGGAAAGCAACAAAGCATGTCATTCAACTTACCAATTTGCAGTAGCCTTTTTCATCCAAAAGCAAATTTTCAGGCTGAAAATGTGAAAGCAAGACAAGTCTTTCAAGCCACTATCGAAGTTTCAATCAAGCTCATTATAGCAACATCACCCACAACACTATTTCTACATTCCTTATTGAAGTTGTCTAGGCTTTCTATCATTGTACATGGCTGAAAAAGCGAATTCTTCTTAGATGCAGAGACTGAAGGGAAAGTGGGGGGGGGGGGAGAGGTGGTTTGCGTGTAACCCCCTTCATGTCAGGAAAAGAAAATAAACAAAACACTATCTTGGCAGAGCTGTAAACACCAGTACAGGACACACTTACCCTCCCCTCCCCTCCCCTCCCCTCCCCTCCCCTCCCCTCCCCCCAGCTCCTCCCTTAAAGAAAATTCAACCGAATTTGCTGCTTGTAATTCTAGTGCTAAAAGCTTGTACTGAGTCTTAAAAAAAAAACTAGGGATTTTACCTTCAGATCTCTATACACGATGCCCCTTTCGTGAAGATACGTGAAAGCTTCTATTACACAGCCTACATAAAAACGTGTGGTCGCATCATCAAAAGACCCTCTGCGGAGATAAAAGACTTGAGCTTAGTTTAATCAGTAAGTCACAGAAATGTTACATTCTTGACCTCATTGGGAAACGGGCTGATAGAGAAGGACTTAGGGATTAAAGAGTCTCGAACAACTTAGACTTTTCAGTGAAGGTAAGGGGCTCGTCATAAATACGGATGGGGCGGGGGAGGGGATGGGCTGGAAAATTCACAATAAATGCATTTTCAGAAGGGTTGGAAAATTTTGCTCTTCGTAATTTGTGCCCCTCCCTGTCCACCGTGCAATTTTATCTCAAAGAAGTTTGCATTCTGGTCACTGGACGGGGGAAACGTGGGATCCTAAGATTTGCTTTGTGGGTCAGAGTTGTTTAACGGATTTTCCACAACAATTTTTCTTTACAAGATAAAACCACAGAACCCTACTTACTTGTCTCTCAGAATGGTCCAAAGTTCACCGCCCAGACAAGCTTCCAGAAGCATATATAGGTATTTATTATTCTTAAACGTTTTATATAGCCTGAAAAGGGGAACAAATTCGAGGTTTCAAAACTAACCAATAATATTTATTCTTTCCGACCATACAAGGACAATATAAGGGACTTAGAGAAAACCACGACGGCGACAACATCGAGAACGTAGCCAAACGAAAGATCTAATGAGCAAGACAATAAGCGACACACGTACGTTTAAAAATGTGTACATTTCGTAGCCGTCCCTTACGGGAACAAAAACGTGAAATCACCAACTTTCAAGTTCTTTTGGCAAAGAAACCTCGACAGCAATTTAGTCTCATTTTCACTTTGAACCCAACACTGCATTTACTTGTTATGCCGAAGTGAAGATTCTTGCCGTTAGAAACGTTGTGCGCATCGAGCTATTGGCGAAAATCTTAGAGGAAAGTAAACCTTTTACCATAGCCGTAATGACATCTTAAACTCCCTATTGGCAGTGATCAAGCTCACGCACGTCACGTGATCAGGGAAACAGAAATGGCCGACATCGTGGACAAAGCTTAATGAGTTTTAAATTGTGAAGAGGTATAATGACTAAAAGGTTCCACATTTTAACAAGTTCAAATTCGCAAGATTTCACAAGATGAACAAGGAAAGAAGAGGTAAGGATGTTAAACATGAAATGGGAACAGGGCTCAATGACTACCAAGAGTCATTGAATACACAACGCATAACGTTCACTAGGGCTTCCAACATAAACAAAACAATAACACAATTTGACTTTAAAAAGCTTCACGCCCAATGTGCATGTGACCAAGGTTTAACTTGTTTCACTTTTGTATCGAATGAAAAAAAGCTAAAGTTTAACTCTAACCCTCCAAGCTACTTAAAACAACTGTTGTTCCTCAAAAGAACCGTTTCAGGTACAACATCATGAAGAAAATTTATTTCATACCAGCTAAAAGATTTGTACTTACCTCACAATGAAGGGACAATTGGCCTCCATCATGATTTTCTTTTCTGAATTGATATGGTCCTGTTGTCTTGTTTCAACGATGTGATGTTTCTTAAGAGTTTTCAGGGCAAATGTTTTCTTTTCATTGGCGACTTGAACCTGACAATGACAAAATGGAAAGGTTATACGCCTAACTACGACCGAGTTTATCTATATTGCTGTTATCTAGATATCATGCTTTCCCTCTTAAGACTGAGCTACACCAATTTAATGATAGACTAGCAAATTATTTACCAGAAAAATTTCACACAATTCATTAACACAGACACATTTCTTCCAGTTGACCGTCAAAGATGCCTTCCCTCTCTTTTCATAGTTTTCCCTTTCAGGCAATGATCAGACAAAAGTTAAAAAACACCTCCTTCATATCAATTTTATGGCTTGATCTCCTTAGTTCAGATATTAATCCTAACTCCCTGAGAGTGATAAGCATCTAATTTCTCCCAATGGTACCACACCAGAATCAAACATTAAGGTCATGAGAATAAATGAAATAATGACAAGGTCAAAAAGCTCTTGACTATTAAGCAAATTCTCCAAATAAGTACCATACGAAAGGTATAAAGAACAGTATGGAGATCTTGCAAACTGATGTCAGGCTGTAAGGGGTTAAGAAAGATATTTCACAACCTGAAGGTTTTGGAAAGCATATCTTGATTATTCTACTCTGGCTTCATAATTTTAGCACAAGTGCAACACTAGGCAATGTTAAACAAGACTGCATAACTTTTAAAAAACCTTTCCATGTATGTCTGGGTTATGGACCCTTATTGACTGTTACCTGTTTCAAATAGATTGCTATGCTCTGTGCTTGTACAATACACTGGATCAGTGATATCCTGAACCAGTAGTAATAAGTGTCAATTCATTAGACTCACCAATTCAACACGCCCAAAACCTCCAACTCCCAGTGTCTTCAAGATTGAGATATCTTTCAAAGAAACACTTGCAAACTCATTCTGTTCTTCTTTAGTGCGACTGTAAACAAAAAACTTGAATAAGTACACCCATCATGAACACTTCTAAGAAAAATCCTAGTCACTAACATAGAAGCATATCTTAAGTTTGAGAAAATAAAACCAGCAACTTAGCCACAAAACAGAACCCAGTAATAAGCCATACACCCATTGAAAAACACTATCTAGAGAAGTAAAAACAATCAAACAAACTAACATTTTAACCCTTTAACTCCCAGATCATAATTGTAATTCCCCTTACTGTCAACCATACAATTCTTGTAATGTTAGTTCAGAGAATTTAGAGTTGGATCAACTAATCATCCCCAAAGTGATATTTTTCTTTATTCTCATCACTTATCTGGTTGATAGTGTATTGGTATTGTAAGGAGAAATTCTGTCTTGGTCACTCATGGGAGTTAAAGGGTTAAGAGGTTCCCAACTAAAACAACCCTTATCTACAAATATGAATATTTGTACAATGTACACTTTTTAGGCATCATTGTCACTTTCAATTCACAAACAGTGCTGCAAAAATTCTTGAATTTTTTGCATTTCTCAAAGGATAATCTTCACCATTTGACTTTCATGAAATACAAGTTAATTCTCTCAGTACCACACATTTATCTTGTTGGCTAGTGCTGAAAATTTGACATTGTGTCAGGACTTAAATTATCTCTATATTGATAACTTTATGATTTTGTTCTGACCTGCCTATTTGAAAGTGCATTAAAATTTAACAAGATATTATTTACAGATGGTTCTTAAAAGGTCAGTCTGGTAAATTATATCTTAAAAGTAAAAACCCAAAGAGAAAACAACATGAACAAACTGTACTTTCCCCCTTCATTTTAGAATTAATAATTCCCAACAAATACATCAGTAGTGTAGATTTTTTAATACGGTGCTCTTCTGAAATAACAAAATTAAGTTGCAGACAAAATTCTTCATAGTACAGTCAAAACATGTTCATTGTGTTGTTCATTATCTGCATGTCCACCTGTCATATCACATCTGACCATGGAGATGCAAAACATTTGAGTTTAAATGCAATAAAATTTTTGCTATTGAATTTGAATGCATTGTTTTCCCAAGGAAGTCAGTAATAGCTGATGTAAAGTAGCAGACATCTGTCTAACATTTTGGATGAAGTACAAACACTTTGACCAAGTTTGCAAAAAAATTTTGTTATGCCTTTGCCTAGCCTGCAGCAAGTCTCCTATAAGTCAGTGGCAGAGCATTAAAAGAACTTATCAGAAGGTTGTAGGTTTGACTCCTATTGAGAGCACTGGGAGTTCTTTGTCTTTCACCGAATAACATCTTCTTTCACTAAAACACCAGGCTTAACATTCACCATCTTCATTGAAATCATCGCCACTAAGATGTTTATCATTCAAATTGGCAATGCATAGAACATTTGAACAATAAGAAATTACATGAAAATACCATGAGCTATGTAAATACCACATAGAACATAGTTTTCATTACTATGAAAACAGCAACTTAAGTACATTTAAATCATTAGTATCTTGAAAACTAAAGTTAAGTGCTCAGTGAGTTAAATTTAAAAACGTTATTATTACATTGCTGGTGCATGAAAAGTTTCCAAATGTACCAACCTTTCAATTTCTTGGATCTGTCTACTTGGTTTAAGGGTTAAGAGGAAAAAATAAATGTAAGTCCTTTGACAAAAAGTAAACTCTAAGTATGAAAGATCAAAATTTACCATGAATGTAGATTTAAATTAGCCTCATACATTACTTAAAATAAAAAAATCAAAGTTCAAAATAAGCAATTTACAACCCTAGAAATGATCACTTTCGTTAGATTTGAATGTGTGAACAGTAGCTGTTATGAGGGTCTCACAAAGAAAATTTTATGGCTAGTCAACACAACACATAGTAATTAAGGTGCTGTTTAATTCCCATGAAGATTCTGTTTGCTCTTTTTTAATCCTAAGAGGCAGGACACTAAGAAGCTTTCTCCTGAAAATCCACTAGCATGTATCCCGTAGAACTGGATGTTACAATTTGGCAAAACAAAGTGCAGATGAAAAACCATAGCTGACATTGACACCGTAGGTTCATATTAAAAAGCATCAGACCTTTCCCTGAGCCCTTTAGAAAGATACCCTTAGCATACTGGTATACTGAGTTAAAACTCTGCAAACTGATCATTGAAATGTTAATTTAAAAGACACTTCATTAAGAAGATACATATTATTGTTACGCCTAGCAAAGAATTAGAAACTGATATTAACACAAGCTTGCTTTTTATTCATGAAAATTGAATGAACAATCACCTTCTCAATGGAGTCAGTTAAACAATGATTAATTCTTGAACCCGTTTTTATAACTTAAAAAAATTGAGGGTACCATTTCAACTGCACAACTATTTTTTATAAAAGAAATCACTGTTAAGAGCTACTCTTTGATCCTTCCTTGACTCACTTGTTATCATTTCATTCAATACATACTCTACTTCATGTAATCAGCTAATCTGCTTTTATCAATTGAGTTGATGTTAATTGATCACTGTAAAGAGTTTTTAAAGCTGATATTTCCAGTATTAGCCTTTTTATCAAAGTCGTCTTCCTCTTACCACCGAAACTTACTTTATATATGACTCAACAAAACATGTAGAATTATGTCATACTTGATGCATACCACCTTGAAAATTCATGGATCAAAGTCATTAACTTGGCTCCTCACTCAGAGGTGATAACCATTGAATAGATAGCTGATTTGAAGCAATATCAAAATCAATTGAAAACAATTATATTACCTTGCAGTCTGTGGTTCAACTCCTCTTGCCTTGTCGCTATATTTGTCTGTTTGCAAGTCTTCTAAACTTCCAATATATGCTTCAAAAGGTCTGAGGAATGCAAACATAGCTGGGCAATCAAGGTGGAGTGATGAATTCACAACAAGAAAAATATGTCTTTAGAAATGACACTTAAGTTTCCTTTTCTATAGGGGAACTTGAACTGGACCAGAATTAGTATAATTGTGATTTGTATATTCACACGAAGATAACTGTCAAAGCTGGATAGCTGTAAACACCAAATGGTTAAGACAGCTCTCACCGGGAGCTTGTTTCCGTTAGAATGATGTTAAATTAGAGACTTTCCTTTCGAAAAAAGATTGATTTTGCAAATTTAAAGTTTTTTTTTTTAAATTATTTTCTATTACTTACTCTCGATCCAACACGAGACATTGCACACCTCCCTTGGCTGCAATACAATTTGCTGTTCGAAATTCATCACTGCAAAAGAATATTCTCTTATTCTTGGAGCATATTTTGTTTAAAATAAATGAACAAATATATTAAAAGGTATGTGTCACAGCTGAATTTATCCATAACATGCCAATTGCTGCAGCTGAATGTCACTATTATTTTGTTTTTCATTACTGGCTGCCAATGACAAAATAGGCAGCAGAGACCACAGAAGGGGCTTTAAAAATCTAAAGGAAGTAATAAATAACCTAAGTTACCCTGTAAACTGCAAGTAACTGCCTTTCTTGCTCACAAAAGATTTATCTTATGCGAAATTCCAAGGGATTATAACTATGCTCTTATTTGTACATCTTGAAAGCTTTTGGACCCAATTTTTAAGTTTATAATAAGCACTCAGCAATCCATGTGTTATTTACACGAACATGTCTGTCTGCTTGTAATGAAAAAGAAAAGAAACTTCCATGTGGTCAAAAACAACACTATTTTTAACCACATCTAATGACATTATAGAAAAGTCCAACCTTACCCCATGAGATTTTTTTCCCCAAAGTACTCGCCCTTTTTGAGAGTGCGAATGAAATTAGGATCTGCATGCACTGTAGCTCTCTGTGTAACTTCAACCTACCAAAAGAAGTTTTCCTCAGAACTAAAATAATCAACAAAAATAGTAAACGGCACAACTGAAGACAAGTTACGGGTGGCAAAAGAATGGCTTCTGCCTCACTTAACCATAGAACTTAACCCATGGTGTACACCTATGACTCAAAATTTTGTAACACTCATTTATTCCATCACTAAAAAGGAAGAAACATTCCATTAAGCATTACTTACCTCTCCCTTCTTGATGATGAAAAACGTGTCTCCCCTTGCACCCTGACGTATGATGTACTCTCCCTCATCATAGAATGCCTATTATAAAGTTATATTCAAAGAATGCTTCAGAGCAAATACTCTGCTATAAAATCAAAGGTACCATGAAATGTATTAAACTACAATGATTATGCACCCATTTCAGGGATTTCAATAAGCTTTCCAATAGTTGGCCACCAATTGATGGTTTTTTTTAGACCGCTGTGCCTAGAGAAGGGGCTGAAAGGCAACCCCAATGACACAGTCTGATTGACTACAGTACTCATTTTCTGTTCCATGGTAATTATTGGGTAAAGTAGGTAGACAAACAGTCGGGCATTGTGAACAAAATAAAATAATGAGCCTATCTTGTTTTAAAATTTACATCTGGTAAACAATTGGGAAACTCTTTCTCTTGATTTCTATGTGTGTTAGTTGATTCAGGCTTTCCCCTCATCAAAAGACACTCAATAGAAATCTTCATTTTATAATCTTATAGTTAATTAGATGTAAATGACAAATGACTGAAGATAACCAACTACAGCCATCCCTTTGTCATGCCTAAATGAGATGAGTAAATCACTGATTGAGCAAATGTGAGAACACTTGTCCACACAATAAATGGTTGTTGTTTTAATGCCAGCTCTTTTTGCTTCTCTTGGACAGTCAGTTATCACAGCCTCAACACAAATTATTGATTGAGAGAAGATTTACCAACAAGTTATGCTTAGATTTCAAGGAGAACTAACCCTTCTATTTTAGAGAACAATGTTACCAAACAAGTATTTTTTTTTTCTTTAACAGTAACGTAAAGAAATAATCCAACGATGAGACGCTTCATGAACTATGTCTGTGATCATCACATTAACCCTACCTCCTCAATGACATCTGCAACCTTACAGAGCAGGTCTTCTCCATACTTAGCAAGCCATGGGACACTGAAAGGTAAAATGATATGCCATACAAACATTTAACTCTTTAATTTCCAAAAGTGGTTAACATGTAACTTCTCTTGGCAATTAATTATAATTATGTTAATTACCAGGCATGATGTCTGTATGAGTAAGAGTTGTACCCTTGGTCATAAGTGTTGCCTTCTGCCTTCAGGCTGTACTCAAAACCTGAGGCACAATTTCCCTCACAAGGAACTACTTACAATGGTAAATACCTTTTTAAAATTTTTTCCACTGGGTTTTTTTTTTCCAATTTGCTGTGAATATCTATGGACCATGGTTCATATTGTTATAAGCTGGACCAGTTATGAGTGCATCATTAGCCAATCAGACTTAAGATTCAGACATGCTGAAATGCTTTAGGAAAAATAACAATAATTGTCTTGCAAACAAGTTATGTGATCCTAGATTCTTATCAGCAAGAGGGTGTTACCAAGACATAAGACCAAATTTTCCATAGCAATTAGTAAGGAGAATTACAAACTGGATCTTGGGAGTTCAAAGCTTAAGACTTAAAATAACAGAAGAGTTTAAACAAATAAACTTAAACAAATAATTGTTGTAGTTTTAACTAAATTTAAGTTCAAAATGATCATAAATTTGTTTTCTCCTTTGTTCTAGGTACCATTACATTAACATAGTCCTTAATTGAAGAAAAGAAGTCAAACAAGTTTGAAACCATTTCAATCTGAAATCATTTTCACTACAACATAGACATCAACACTAATCAATTATCATTAAAAGGAAGGTTAGGTTATGAAAGATCACAACCCTTAAACTTCACCAAAGCGCAGAAAATCTAACATAGACTGAATGTAAGTTTTGATTCTTCATCTCCTAAAATCACCTTTTCAAAAAGTCAATGTGTTCCTTCTGTTTTAACATTCCTGTCTTCATCATTATTGTCTGGAATGTTTGCCTGTCAATGGACCAGACCTTGACATCACTCTCAGCTAAAATGAAGGATAACACATAAACATTACTAATGTTTCCACAAATGAAAATAAGATAAGATAAGAAAAGATAAGATAACTTAATTTACACCCAGTTCTCCATGCCAAAGGTTCATGTTAAAAATGCTCAACAAAAATAAATGTAAGTAATATGTACATAAATTTATAATAGAGGAAATCAGCTAGAATAACAATGACCCTAAATATTTCTTAGACTACCCTGGTAATATCCATACTTAAACTAATTTACCAAGTAAGAATAAAATATGCCAGTGATGAAATAAGATTATTTACAGTTAAAGCAAAAGAGACAGTAGTCAATGGCCAGTGGTACATAGTAACAGACAACCCACTATCTAAATGCAAGCTTCTGATTTGGTATGATTATACTATCCTGGAGCTTATCACCAACACCTTAAACATATCCCCTTTAATTATGTCTACAGATTTCAGTGTTTTTCGAGATTGGCATTGGTACAAATTATAAATAAATGATCACTGCACCTGAGTTTCAACTGTAAAAAAGTTAATGTCTGCAATAACTAAATGTTTCCCTCCTAATGTGACAATTCCTAAAGTGGGTGTAAACAACTCTGTATCCCAGGGAAATCCAGCCTTAAAACTAATCAGAGTTTTCTTTACTTGGGCAAACTATTTTAATGAAATGAATAGAAAGGCATACATGTATTTGTAAACAAAAAAAACTGATAATTCACTGCTTGCAGAAAACAACAATTTTTCAACTTAATTAATAAAAGAAAAAGCAATATCAAGAAATTTACCTTTCACACTGGCTGTCCTGGGGCACTTGTATAAGATGGCAAGTTCCCCAAACACTTTTCCTGGTCCCATACTACCCTTTTCCTCTCCTTCCTTTAGGACTTTGACTTTACCCTCTGGAAAAAAACATATTACATCAACATTCATGGCTATAAGTAAATTACCCATTTTTCAAAAGGTTCACCACAGAATTAGAAAGTTTTCCATGAAAGGTTTGCAGAAAAATCTTTACAAAGGTGAATACTCTAAATTGATAGACAATGGCTTATATATTTCAGGGCTAAAAATTGGTGGTCGCACAGTCCCCAGTGGCGAGTTAAAAATGACCAGGGCCACCAAAAGTTAAGGTTGGAACGCCCAACATGTGACTATGCTACAGAATTTCAAAAAGTTGCAATGTAAATTATGCAAAGTACGAAGTTAAAAATAAAACTCAATATGTAATTTAATTGGACTTCCTTTCTCTTCATTTCTTTGCCTGGACTCTGAGATCCTCCATTTTAGCAAATTTTTTAGTTCTAAAGTGGAAATTCCGAGCCATTTTAACAGTGATTTCACGAGCTTGTTCTTTCCTTTTAGTTAACGCTCCATTAAAAGCCACAGGGTGTTTATTCAAGTTTTTCATTTTAAACTAGAGGAAATCAAGGGCTACTTCATTTTGGGATGAGCCACAAAGAATTCAGGGAAACTGGCTCGACTGGCCACCAAGCACTAGAGTTAATTTCTAGCCATAATGTTTCTTAAGAAATATTTAATTATGATGATCATATTTCAAACATGTTAATAAAGACATGAGATATGTACCTTCCAGTACATAAAGGTGTGAGCCTGATTCTCCTTCTTTGATAAGGAATTCACCCTTTCTCCATTTCCTCTCATACATGCATTCAACAACTTCACGGATTTGTGATGGTTCCAACTTTTTGAGGAAATCATTGTCCAAAATGGCATCCTTTATAAGTTCTTTAGATCTATTTTGGTACAGAAAAGTAGCAAGATTAGCTTCAATCTGTGTCAACATAGTCATGTTCACATTCATAACCCCTTCCCCCTCCCTGCCACCTTGTACCATAAGACCAATGAATTACACAGGAAAGAGACCCTCAACAAAGAGGTCTGCTTACAGTGTATATCAAGGGGACGGCAGGTTGTCACAAACTCACTGCAGGCAAAAACATGAGTCATCATTTTCCATCTGATTTATCACCTTGTTTGAAATCTAACAAATACCATGTACAGTATGTAGTTCTTCTGTTCAAACCTAAAATATTTCAAATGTGAACTGAGCCAGGCTTTCTTTAAGAAGTATTCTTTGTACTAAAATGCTACCAACTCAAATGAAAGGATAAAATGTTCCTGTTTCAGAGTTTTTATTTAAGGAGGAAGGACGAAGGAGGAAGGACGAAGGAGGAAGGAAAAGGTACTTTTCTACAAAGCATTCAAAATATATTATGGATTATTGGAGGGGATAAAACAGAGTACATAAAAATATAAATAGGATTTGATATGGTACATGTCAAGGGATAAATTTTGGTTTGTTCAATTATTTTTTTTAATTTCCTCAGTCACCTAAATTTATGTGTAACTTCCAAGGATACAAAGTCCAATTATGAAAATTTAAAAATTGCAATTTTAGTTTGATTCTGATTTTTTGCATATGTTTTGTTTCCTAAATAAAATACGCTTCCAAGTGAGAAATTATACGAAATGCAACAAACTACAAAACCATGAAACTAAATGAAAAGTCCTTTGCAGAAAAAGCTAGGAACAATAATAAAATCATTTTAAAAATATTGTCATAATAACCAGGCTAATTTTCCATTTTGTTCTCAGTGTGTAAAGCCAAGGGATGGCAAAACTGAGCTTCACAAAGATATTACCTTAAAATTATAAAAGGGTGACAGGCATGGAAATTGTCTAAAATACTCATGAACCTAAGTCTTTTTTATTTATGACCATAAAATCTCCATGATGAAGGCAGAAATTTCTTCTTTTCATTCTTTCTTTTTGGTTGGTAATTGGATTATTATTAGTTCAAGTGAGCTCCTTGAGATATTTGAACTTTAATTAAACTGATATCATATTGAATGTAAGGACTCAGTGAAGTTTCTGAGTACTATTTTCCCAATAATAAGGAGAGATTTTATGCTTAAAAAGACTGTGTATCTTTTCACATACTGATGCAAATGCCAGTATTTCCTTTCATTGTGGGAATTTAGCAACACAACTTTGAAATATTTAGATATCACCACTTTTTAAAAATAAACTGCAACTCATAAAATCAGTTCTTTTTACTGCCATTGTGTAATCATGACAAAACATGCCAAAGACAACCTGAAAAGCCACAATTTCCTCAATCAAATGCAAATCTTGAAACTATTTCATTTCATATATATATATATGTATGATTATACAGCATATAACATAACAAAATCCAGAAAAGAAGACTCACTTTAGCCAACAAATCACCTTCTCATTGCTCTAAATACTTAAACAAAAGCAGTGTTCAAGATACTACAATTTTGTATGACATCTCAAAGACAAAGACATGTAGTCTCTAAGATTCACCCCATAACATGGGATTTAACAGCGTAAAATTCACACTGTAAAGTAAAACTTTTATGCAATGCTGTACAAATTGATGAAAATGAAACTGAATTCTACCTTAATTGAGAAGCAATTAGAAGTGGAGAATTTCCTTTTTCAACCTAAATCCAAAACAGAGATTATTTTTTTACATATTTAAATCTTAGGTAGTGAAAACATCACCCATAATTTCTTCCAATATGACATGATTAGTAGGAATGTATGCAGATGTAAAGCTTTGTGAGAGTTTCCAAAAAGTCAGATCACTGTTTCACTTAGACAGGAAACTTTTAAAATCTATGAAGCCTAACAATAGGTAAATAGAATTTAAAAGATAACCTATCTTTTTCATTGTTTTGTTCAGTTTTTGCATTTTGTATTCTGAGGCTGATCACTATGGCTACACACCAATAAAACAGTAAAGACTCTGAATTTCTTCAATTGCAATACATTTGACCCTTACACTTTCAGGGTAAAATTGACCTCAATATCAATATTGTCACTTTTTTCATATTTTCAATAAAAAGTTGAACTTTTCCTTCTAAGAGTCTGAGTACTTTAAGCACAAGACAGGTGCACTACACAAGCTACTAAAGGCTTGTTTCAACCCAAACAGTGATTGTTTTGATGAGGAGATTACAGCATAAGATTAGGAGCTGCTTTCAAGCATACTCCTTGGTCCTGGTTTTAATTTATTGCTTCCTATGTAAATCAAGAAAAGATGATTCTACAGCAATTTACCATGTCATAACAAAGAAACCCTCACAACCGATGAAATTGTAACTTTACCGCAAAATTAATTCCTTGGTGTATAATATACACAGAAGCTGTAAGAAAGGGCAATTTACATGATGAAATATTTAAATCACGACAGAATGCTTGTATGCTCGTGAGCGACTGATTAAATTTCTTTTAGAAACGGAAAAAAACGTCTTTCGTGAGATGAAACAAACACACTTGCCCTCTAGTATAAGGCATGCGCATAAATGCTATTCTGAAAAAGGATGTTAATAAAATAGTGAACTTCATATCGTAATCTTTGTCTTTTGTGCGCTACTTGTTATTTAGCAATCTGAAAAAAAACAAAATCCTTGACTCCAAAATGTTTACACTCCAAGAGGGAACTAAAGCTTATTTCTATCCTGCATATCTTTACGAAAAGTTACCTCGTTTCTTTCGCACGTTTCCCTTAAGACCTCGTCTTTATTTTGGTGCGTGGCCGATCTCTGTATTCAAAGCCTAGTTAGCTTATATTTAACATGTTTCAACCATTATATGTAAATATCGTTCTGTAAGCAAACCGCTACCAAATAATTCGAGTTTGATAAAAATTCTCGCATGGAGCTTCCGAATGGCGAGACTACAAGTATCAAGGCATCAATAGAAATATACAAAACCAAACAGCGGTTTGTTCGCCATAAAAGCACTTGCCGAAGCAATAAACAATCTTGTGTCGGTACAAATCGATCGATCTAAAATAAACGGCTAGCCAGAGCCCGGAAATATTCAGTTAACAGGTTGTTTCGTCAGATCAGCTTTTAAAAGAAAAACGAACATCGCTTTAATCCAAAACCTCAAGCTTGACATTCTGATAAAACACGACCCGAACTGAACAACCTTCTTCTGAACGATATCTGGTAAAGCTGGGTATAGCTTTACAAAAATAAAAATCAAACCAGCAATCATTGCTACTTTAATCCGGGCCCAAAATGCTGTAAACTTCAGATCACGGAGAAAGAGATAAATTGAACAGAAGCGTGCTAGGCTCGTGGACGCCCAAACACCAACTAGATCTGTGACCATGTCAATATCAGAGAATGCTCGCTACTCGAAAAGTCATGAAGCACAATTAAGATAAATAAGTATCCTTTTCAGCGCGTTTTTACATGTTAGAATTAAAGTAAACGTAACTTCAAAAATAGATCGGCCTTAAATGTTCGATCGCGGTATAGCGTATATGAAAAAAAAAAAAAAGGAAAGAAAGACTCCTGTTCGATGTTGCAATTTGCCAAATATTAAAACTCAACCAAGCGTGATTCGATCGACATTGTGTATCTTAAGCTCTCGCCGAATGCGGTTTGTTGTCGATTTGAAGTGTACAATAAAAACAACAAAGAAAAGATCACAGGAAATGCACAAGAAGTTCATGAAAAGAAGCGCAATCGAGGCTGAGGAAAATTCATGCAATCAAACGGGTATTATGTGTGCTTGAGCCGAACGACGAAATTAAATTCACGATCGGCCACTTTAACCGAAGGTGTCACTTTTCAAGAACCAAAGAACTACCGATAGCCTACACGCACAAACGGTCTATAATTCAAAGCCGACCATCTGAGATCTAACATCCAGCGAACCTCCAGCAACAACGATCGAAAGGAAGATAGATCGTATTGCTGACTGAGACAATCACCCCTTCTGTGAGGCGTAATTTTCTTCATATTAGTGTCAGAAGTTCAGGCGCACATTGAAAATTCGTTTTTTCCAGCTATCTTGCGTTGGCGTTCCGCGATGGTTTTCAATGACCGCAAATATTGACAACAGGCGGCGGAAAAAAAGTAGCAATCGTCTACAGCCGCACGTATTTTGCGATAAAAGGGTTACCAATAACTTTTCGATGACTTTAAAGATCAGCAAAGCTACGAGCGCGCACAATAATCGACACGCTTACTGACAGAGAAATATTCTAAGCCATCGATCGAGCCCCCGCATATAATAAGGAAACATAAGCACAACAGAATAGAAATCGTCCTTGCCTGGAACTTTTGTTGTGTCTCTTAGGTGGCTGAGAGGCATCGGTGACCGTTTTGTAGCCTTGTGGCTCAGCTGAAATTCCTTGGCGTTGATTTCTAGTACGAGTTGCTACGGCCGGTTGCAGAACCGAACGATATTTGTCTAACTCGCTCTCGAGTCGACGGATCAACTCATTTCTCCTTTTCAATTCCTGCTCCAAGGCCAAGATGCGGCTGTCCTTCATTTTCATTTCGGTGTTCTTCTCTTGGAGGGCCTGCTGCAGCTCTCGCAGACTGCCCATTTTCGCTGTGGTTGCCGCAGTACCCCGCCGAAAACACAAACACCCTGCCTTCTTTTTACTCTCAGCTCGACCGCAATGCATCACTCCGCGCGCTTTATCTAATCGCCAATGGAATACTGGGAATTCATTCACCGATATCCTGAGGGTAGTTGAAAAGAGACACTCGCAAAATTTGTGAAATGAAATTAAAGTTCACCGGGTAAAGCGCGAATCTAACGAAGAAATCGCAACGCCACCTCTTCCTCCTTATAAATGCGCACTTCGGTTCCGTAAATCATGCGTAAGAGCTTTATCAGGGACGTGGTTATAAAGTAATTTGTATGTTAATAGATGATTGACGTTTGGAACGGATGT